TATATTGGTCGCTGTCAATGTACTCAGTTCATGTATTCTTCTTTATTTATAGACCTACACAGGTAGTATATTGGTCGCTGTCAATCCCTACAAAATGTTTGATATTTATGGCATAGAAATGGTTAAACAATATGAAGGACAGCTCATTGGCCATTTACCTCCGTAAGTAGCATCTGTCCTTTTATTATAATAATTAAAAATAAAATGATGACATTTTAGTTCTTTTATGCTAACTCCATGTAGAACTTTCAACACATTGCTTACTGGAACATTATATACCATTCACATTGACTACCTGTGGAGTCTTTCAGCAGGCTGTAAATATGCAAGTATTCTGTTTATAATTTGTATAACAAAAAATGTTCATGTTTTTGTACTGTGTGGCTATTTGTACACCCACTTTGAAAACCCACTTTGAAAACTTTTGTGTGTTTCATTGGAAACAATAACTTCATCATATATTTCACAATTCTAGTGGCCATTTTGAAGTTCAAAGAATCTAAAATAATTTGGTTCCTAATTTAAAAATTAGGATATTAATTTACATTTACCTTTGTGTTTCAGTCATTTATTTGCCATTGGTAGTGGGGCATATGCTAGGATGTCAAAGAACAATGAAAACCAAGTTGTAGTTATTAGTGGTGAAAGTGGAGCCGGCAAAACTGAGAGTACCAAATTAATTATGCAATATTTAGCTGCTGTTAATAAGTCAGCTAATAATACAGTTACAGAACAGGTAAATGTTATTTTCTATCATCACATGTATTTATGTGTTGTAAACATGTAGTCCATCAGCTTATGTGTTGTAAACATGTAGTCTATCAGCTTATGTGTTGTGAACATGTAGTCCATCAGCTTATGTGTTGTGAACATGTAGTCTATCAGCTTATGTGTTGTGAACATGTAGTCTATCAGCTTATGTGTTGTGAACATGTAGTCTATCAGCTTATGTGTTGTGAACATGTAGTCTATCAGCTTATGTGTTGTGAACATGTAGTCCATCAGCTTATGTGTTGTGAACATGTAGTCTATCAGCTTATGTGTTGTGAACATGTAGTCTATCAGCTTATGTGTTGTGAACATGTAGTCCATCAGCTTATGTGTTGTGAACATGTAGTCCATCAGCTT